ATTTTTTTTTTTTTTTTAAACCCAAACAAACCAGAAATTAGTTAAATAAAAACACAATACAACAGCAATAGACTTTAGACACAGCTCAGGCTAATGCATGCAGGCTATAATACTACATTTCGTGACTTTTCATTGTCAAAAGTGATCGACATTGAAATTTTTGTTACATCCCCTTTTTAATTTTAGTAAGTACTGAGTACTTATCAATATTGAGCTCTCTTAGTTGACAAAGTACTCAATATTGGTTAGTATCGACTAGCGCCCACCCCTAGTACCATGCTTGGTGTGTAGGGTGACCTCTCGCTCAGGTTTGTTTGCATTGTTGGGGGGGAGGGCAGGGGCAAATTTTCATCTGTTTAGTAAGGACCATACCACTTTGGAATTTGCGGATGGTAGTTTAAAAGTGCTAATAGTGTGTTTACATAGGCATTCCTTTTCATGCACTGGCAAAACCTGGTGGTAACCTCTTCGTTGCCGCGCCCGTAGAATTTACGGGACTGAACCATGTAGCGCTGTGCCTATGGCCCATAGAATTTACAGGACTGACAGATTTTGTTTTCATACCAACTATAAAGGAAGTTGCTGCTAAAATCTTGTAATTATTATTGAGGTACCTTCCCTTTATGTTTAGCCACCATTTTCCTCCCTTTTGAAAGCATCAGATTCAGATTTTAGCTCAAAGAGGAGATTAGATCTAGATCTAACACATCTACGGCACAAAAATGATTTATTGGCTGTAAACACAGTTGAGCTTACATGTATATATATATATATATATATATATATATATATGGAGTGTACAAGCGTTGTATATGGTAGGAAAAACCTCTTGTCACTTCCTCCTGCAAACACTCACACAACTTGTATTCCCTTTTTTTGGTCTCAGTTTATCATTACTTGAATGTGTTGTTTTATGTTGCTTTGTTGTGTTGTTTTTGGCTTCATGCTGCTAACTTCAACTTTTCTCCATCTATTTCTCCAGAAAATTCCCCTAAAATTATATCAATAGAAACGTGGTTCAATGCAGAATGTTATGGAGAAAATCATTAGGGAATATTCATAAATAAAAAAGTTATGGGAGGTAGAGTGGGGTCTTGGTTCATATGATTTTCTCCGGCACGGGGGCCTATTTACCTACAGTATTGAAGGGGTTAACTGTTTAAAGTAAGATACTGAATTAAATTACAGAAGATAATAAAATGTTGCATTTGATGAGATGGAAATTCTCAAACCCAACAAATTTTGTTATTGAACTTGTAAAGAACAAGTATGCAATGAAATGG